ATTAACCATTATCTGGTCAAATCAATGTAAAAGCACATGGGACTGACAAGATTAGAGTCAACAGTGAACTCCCCACAGCAACACAGCGCCATCTAGTGTGCTTAGTGTGTGCTCTTTTGGAAGAAACAAACTATTTGATTTTGTTCTTAAAATTTAAGCTGAGACAAAACATGGACGGACACACAGACACACAGAGGTAAAAACACAAGTCCCCGTTTTCGGACTGCGTCTGAACAGGGGCTAAAAATTGAAATAAATGAATAATGCCACTTTTGCACTTTAAAAGAAGTGAACGCTTCGCAAGCATAAATGCTATGGTAGATTTGGCACATATTATTTTTCTATTTTTCAATTTTGCATACTGGTAAACCTATAATGCATTTGAAAGCACTTTTTATTAACACGCAACATTTAATTTTTCTATAGACAAGAAGCACATTATTTTTTATGGGGTTGAGGTTAAAAAAAACTTTTTCTACTTACCCTAGTGTCCTTCTGAGTGGCCCCAGTAAACAATTGAGAAGAAGGACTGGCAGAAACCGACTCCATCATAACAAGATCACTGAAAAATACAAATTAGGCATAATGAATGCATAACATCAGGTCAGACAGGACAACCTCAGATAGATTCCTGTGTGATAACTTTGCTGATGAAAATATAACTATATTTTCATGAATTGCTACATCAGCAAAGATATCACACAGTTTTCTAGTACAGCTGGTGCTGGATATGTACATATTCAAATATGGCTGCAAAATTGAGAACATTCTTACATGCAAGTAATTTCAATCATCATATTTACTAGGTGTTGGTGTGGTACCACTAAATGCATTCTGACACACATGTGGTCAGTTGGATCTAGACTTGCTAAGCAGACTGAGATAGAATTTCAGCACATGCAGAGATTGAAAACTATCTCGATCTGGATCGAGTTTGCTAGTGAGTTATAACTCAAAAAGCAAACAGCTACACAACATTCAACAAAGTTGAAGATTGCTCACAGAAAGACTGTGATGTTTGTCAACTTTCATTATTATGGGTTCATACCATCAGGATATTGAAAATAAAACAAGCCATGCATGGCACAGTCCCTGTTAGTTATCAAATTTAAGATATATATAGTTTTGTTTATAGTAATATAATTTGAACATAAACATGTAAGAAGCTGACGCTTGCTTTTATGGTGATTTTTCAGCCATCTTGTATCTGATCGTCAAACAAGTACTTGTCCATATTGAGAGTTATTGCTCTTGAACAGCATTAATTAAAACATAACTGGTCGGCCATTTTTAATACATCTGTATATCTATAACATGATGTGTAATGAATAAGATTTAAAAATAATCAGTCAAATCATGTCAGAGATACAGCTCTAAAACTTCATTCATTAAAACAAAATAGCTGTCAGTCAGCCATTTTTATCCATTTGAAAAATAAAATAATGTGCATCAGGAACCCATAATGTCTTATATATGTACCAAGTTTGAACAAAATTCATCCATAAACAACCAAGATCTGGTCCTGGAATGCCAAAAATGCTTGATTTTGATGATATTTTAGCACAAAAATGGCTGCCACTTTGATTCAGGTGGTCAAACAAATATATCTGTATATCTATGACATGATCTATAATGAATAAACAAAATTTGAACATAATCAGTTAAAGCATGGCAGAGATATGGCAATAAACCTGCATTCATAAAAACAAAATCTAATCTGAAAAAAAAATGACGTGCATCAAGGTTTTATAATGTCCAACGTATGCACCAAGTTTGAACAAAATCCATCCATAAATGCTTTGAATGATTTTTCAGCACAAAAAGGGCCGCTATTCGGCCATCTTGAATCAGATCATAAAACAAATTGAATTGCATACATGTATGTAAAATATTATGTTTGATGTATGTGTGGAGTTTTAACCCTTTTCCAGTCAGGGGAGGGGAGTTTCACGCTATCAGGTTAAGTCGT